ATTTTCTTTCGGCTGTTTTAAGTGCAAAGAATCAAATTTCAAGTTCTATCTTTAATATTTTCATTACCAATTTTTTTTTTTTTTTTATTATTTTTGGGTAACAGGTATTTCGAAGCTCTGTGTATAATAGCCAATTATCTTTATTTTTACTTTATTGTTGATTACTTAATGTATTGATTGCTAGACAGAATGGACTACAAAATGACTATCTCGTACCTCAAAAAGGAAATGCTTATTCATGAGATTACTGTCCGAGGTGTCTCAGTTAGTGATACCAAGTTAGTGGACGAATTAAGGTCTATATTGCGACCACTTTCAAAATTGGAAAAGTCTGGCGCATGTTCTTTTGCCCCATATTCTCTTACGTTCGATGTTGAGAGAGTTCAAGCTCGGCAATATCTTGATGAGGCTAATGATGTTATTCCCAGCCATCTACTCACCAATATACTGTTGAACTATTCAAAAAAGACACTCACCTGAAACGTGTAGTTTTTGAACTAATGAGAATACCTGACATTTGAGTGAGTCAGGTTAGTATCGTACTTGAAGAACATATTTGTGAATAGATGGCTGCGGGACGAGCGCAGCGAGGTCCACCCATAAGTTCCGCAACAATTCACTCATTTGTACTTGAATAATTTGTGACATTATGTTACTAGTTTGGTAAAGTAACATTACTAATTCCTGTTAAAAGGAAGTTATTGTTCAAGTACAGGGTGTTTTTTTATACTTATATTGACACCCCACCTACAGCCTTCACCTTTACAAGTAGGTACATGAAAGGTATAAATACAAAAGTTATACAGTATTGGCTATATTTTTAAAATTCATGGTCAGAAAAAAAAATTGAATGTCAGAAATGTGAAATGTTGCATGCTTTCAGTTTTTTTCAAATAGGATGTCCTATATTTGGTTCTATATTTTTGAAGAGCACAATTTCCCGATGCCAAAACTATATAGTTTGTCTATATTTGGTTGAGCCGTCTCCAACATATTTGGTTCTAAAAATTTTACAAAACAGTTAATTCGATTATCCAAACTCTTCAGTAAAGTTCATTTCAATTGACAGTCATTTCAATTGAATTTTTCTATCTATACTAAACACAAAAATATTTAAAGTCAATTCACTCAAGTTAATAATATTTATGCAATAAAGTTTCATAGTCATTTCAATCATTGATAAATTCAAAATAAAACTTGCGACTAGAGTACTTACATTCAAATAATAGACCGATCTCCTATTACCTGGACTGCGCGCGTCGCTTGTAGGTTGCAGGTGAGCGTCCAATGAGAAGCAAGTTTGTGACAGGCTTGCGTCATATTCTTATTCAGGGACCAGTTCAGAATGAATCGTTCCTTCTTTCTTTGTAACATGTAATTTGACAAATAGCAAACTAATACTTTACATATTACTTGAACTCAGCGCAGTTTCGTTTAAGGTTATGTTAGTTTATACTTGACATTCCTCTGAAATTTCATTGAGCAATGTTGCCGGATGAAACATTTATCAAAATAAAAATGCAAACGATGTTCATCCACTTTAAAGCTCTTCTTTTGTCTGATTTAAGGCATTGTAAAACACTTAACACTATATTATTACTTCTTTAATGTTATAATGTTCGATTTGTATTGTCTACATTTGTTCTGCAACAATACAATATGGCTACACTGCAGCCTACGAGTTGCGCGCGCATGTCATCTTTTATTGCTTTCTAACTTGTATTTATTACAATTAAGCTCTCTTTTTTTAATTATGCGAGATAGGTCTATTGGCCAGAAGACACTTAATTCAAGGAAAAACCGAACTCGTGCCGGCAAGAAATTATACGATCTTTTGAAATTTCTGTCATTTTGGGACCTAATTTAATAACGTATCTAACCTTGTATATAATCTTTTCCGGGTTTTGATTTATGAGTTCAGCTAACTTGATGACACGCCTGATGACTGGCTATTAGAAATTGAACGTATTTTAAATATTTTAATTAATTTGGGCTCAACGCTAATTTGTCTCATCACTTTCCAGTTTTATTGATACTAATTTGAAATATTGGAGATTCAATTTTTGATTATTTGATTAAATACATTTAATTTTAACATAGTGGAGGTTTTCTTGGGAGTCAGTCAGGTTGAAAAATGAGACAAATTTTTTTTTTTTTTTTTACGTTTCGGAATTTTCATTTAATTTCATCCTCAGAAATAGCAAAGTCAGAATTGTAAAAGCACAGAAGTTTTTACATTTTAAAACTTATAAATATTTTTTTGTATAATGACAAAGACGATGTTACATAGAATAGAATGACAAACAGAGTTACTTATACAACAAACAAAAATTCAAAAACATGTTTTTTTTTTAAATAAAACTACTTGTGACACAGAATAAGCGACAGGCATTTCTGCATGTGTTTTATTTAAAAAAAAACCATGTTTTTGAATTTTTGTTTGTTGTATAAGTAACTCTGTTTGTCATTCTATGTAACATCGTCCTTGTCATTATACAAAAAAATATTTATAAGTTTTAAAATGTAAAAATATCTGTGCTTTTACAATTCTGACTTTGCTATTTCTGAAGATGGAATTAAATGAAAATTCCGAAACGTAAAAAAAAGAAAAAAAAAAAATCAACCTGACTGACTCCCAAGAAAACCTCCACTATGTTAAAAATAAATGTACCTAATCAAATAATCAAAAATTGAATCTCCAATATTTCAAATTAGTATCAATAAAACTGGAAAATGATGAGACAAATTAGCGTTGACCCCAAATTAATTAAAATATTTAAAATACGTTCAATTTCTAATAGCCAGTCATCAGGCGTGTGTCATCAAGTTAGCTGAACTCATAAATCAAAACCCGGAAAAGATTATATACAAGGTTAGATACGTTATTAAATTAGGTCCCAAAATGACAGAAATTTCAAAAGATCGTATAATTTCTTGCCGGCACGAGTTTTTCCTTGAATTAAGTGTCTTCTGGGCAATTATTTGAATGTAAGTACTCTAGTGGCAAGTTTTATTTTGAATTAATGAATGATTGAAATGACTATGAAACTTTATTGCATTTGCTATTTCTGAGGATGGAATTAAATGAAAATTCCGAAACGTAAAAAAAAAAAAAAATTGTTTCATTTTTCAACCCGACTGACTCCCAAGAAAACCTCCACTATTTCAAAAAAACAGTCAAGAAACCGCATCAAAAAATTTAATTTTAACTGTTGAGACATTGTAAATTACGGGTCTATTTTTCCCGGGTCATTACAATATTATACACGAAATTTATCAAATATATTCCACAGCCTGCTTTATGTATCAGTAGACGATCTTCCTAGAAATCCCTAGTATGCCAGACTTGAAAGATACGTCCCCTTCAGCGGGTATGATGTACCAAGCGGTCAAAAGATAACATTAAATTTAATGAGGGTGTTCCGTCACGAGTTACTGCTCTACTCCAAGTCTAAAGCTGACTATGGAGCTGAGGTGGAACGCAGTGGATGCTGCCCCGTCGTCGCCCACCCTTCCAGTCTGTCTGCTGCAAACAGCGGCGACCCTGGATTCGGAAGCACCCAACCTGCCTTAGCCTGTCAATACAAAAAAAAAATGACCAATGAGATTTAAATAAACTCCACAAAGGCAAAAAGTGGATTTGAAACGCAATAGAGTAAAAATATAAGTTAACTACTTCAGGTGCAAGAAAAGAACATCATCAAGGAAGCAATGAAACATCGAACCAAAACCGTTTGAAAACATCACACGAATTTGGACATTTGATACGACTTGTGAGAGTCAGAAGGGTTTCATCAACTTCAGCTCATTTTGTCTACTGCTGGATAAAAGCGTCTTTCATTCGGGCTGTATTCGCTCCCCCTTATTTGGAAGTAGTCTGCTATTTTTATGTTAAAAAATTGTCAAAGCATTAACTAGTTCATTAGACGTGAATCAAAATGTCTTAATTTGTCAAAAAATCGAATAGAAGTTTAAATAAGAAAAAAATGGTTATAGATTCTGTTCGCTAATCTTTTTTCCGACCCAAATTGTATAATTCTCTGGGATTGTTTATTGGTGTAAGGGTAAAAAACTGTGCGGATCGAGCGGCGGAAACTTATTCGCCATTTTCTCTCCTTTTCTTGAGTCAGGGGATTCCGCGTATGCATCTTCAATGAGCTAGCAAGAAGTTGTTTGAGTGGTAAATATCCACTTTCAAATTTAAAAGTTAGTATGGGTGCCAAATTTAATTTTTAAAATTGTTCATAGGACATTTCGCGCACCACTCGTCTTGGCGAAATGCCAAGAGACATTCGACGAAAACCCCAACAATTTTCAGTTTTGAACAAAACGACATTTAAGACGATACTACTCGAAATAAGCTTTCCATTTCATGATTTTGAAATTGATGCAGTCCATAAAGCACCACTCTACAACTTCTTCCCTCATAGTAACAAATTCATTACAAAATCGATTTTACTCTCTATTGGAAAGTACACTAACCTTTGAATCCAAAATAAAGCCCTCAAAAATACAACAAACCATACACTGATTATTATTGCTTTACAAAGCAAAGCTATGGAAATCGAACAAACATGTCAATAATTATTACCGGAATTAGGGCCAATTTATCTAGAAAAATTATTATTGTTAAAAACAAACACATTTTTCATCATTAGTGTACACGGACTGAACGAAAAATGATTAATAGGATAACGCTAGCTTGATTTATAACAGCGTTTGTCTATGCTCCAGGCCCTTTGATAGAAACTTTGGAGACACTATAATTTCGCTTTGACAAGAAATTCAAAACCTTTGGCAACCGTTAAATAAAGAGTTTTGGAAGATTTATTAATACCGTCTATAGTATTGGAATAAATTTACTTTATTTTATCAGGCACTTTTTATAGATTTTTTAATATATTCAAGTATATTTGAATGATACTCAATATTTTGTTGTTTTATAAAATTAAGAAAAATATATTATTTTCTGTTATTTGCTAATTTTTTTCTCATTTCAGCCTCCACATTTTGAGCGACAACCCCTTGAACGCGACAACGGAAAATCCAGCTATGACACACCAGGGGCTGTGGACTCTTACGGACATCCCGTAACCAGTACCAGTCAAACTGTTCACGTTCACGGACATTTTCAGTCAAATTTTCCTGCAAACGGACATAGAAATGTATTGAAAAAAGATGAGTTTTTTATACCTGAAGAATACTATAATCAACTGAATGAAATTCATGAGATTCAAAGGAAACGAAGACAGGAAATGAAGAGTTCAAAAAATTTAGATAACAGGGATGGTAGTAAGCATCCTAATCATAAATATGACTGAAAGAACTATTTTTAGCCAGAAAAGTTGAACTTTCAGCTTGATTTCATAGAATTTCTGTATTGAGTTTGGTCAGTTTTATTATCAAAAAATAGAACAAGTAAGGTATAGTATTTACAAAGTCAGTTGAAACAAGGTAAAGGTAAAGGCAACTGGTGGCTGACTAGTGGCAGCGCATTTCTTATGAAAATATCAGTCACCAGTTGTAATTTACCTTCACCTTGTTTCAACTGACTTTGTAAATACTATAGGTACTCACCAATTTTTTATATCAGATAGGTAGGTACATCAAAAAAATAGTCGTACTATTCTCGTGTTATCCTTGGGATAAATTGTAAGAGATCTCTTAATTATGTATGTAAGTAGCGATTTTATACATGTATTTATATTTTAATTATGTAATTTTATAAAGAAAATATTTATTCTCTAATAAATAGGACAAAATTTAAATTAGGCTCCAATGTTTTGTCTGATATAACGCTTGTAACAGATATCCAGTCGGTTAGGTACCGAATATTCACGTTAATTACTTATTTCTAAATACAAAAGAGTTTAATTTGTGAAATCATGACGTCATGACTAAATATATTTTTTTTCATATAATTTTGACATTTTTGTATATTCCTACATAAAATATCAAATTTTGTATTAAATGGTTTTTGAGATGAAAATTTACGTGGTGCAACTTGTTATCCACCCATTTTTGGATTTCAACAATTGATTTTAACAATGTATTACATTGTAAATAAATGTTTGTAACGATCCAGAAAAATAGAACAATAAATTACCCCTTGGAATCGTTACAAGTTGCTCTCTTTCTAAGAAGTTGATTAGCATGTTGTCTCTTTCATTTCTTGTAGCATGTTCGAATTTGCCAATGTAACAAGAGCCGGTGTCATCTTGGCCTATTTTTGCATTCGAATCTTCCATAACTAGTGTATGATTTGTTTTGTTATCGTGAATACCTCTTCATAAAGTTCCACTACCACTTGGTCATCGTGGTCGGTTGTTGGTGCGTAAATTTGGATGACTTTGATTGTTATATTCCTGTTGATTTTCAATGTTATGTAATATGTTATGTTAATAATGTCAGATTTGTAGGTATGGTGCCATTCGTTTGTGTATCAGGATTCCAACTCCCCCATTACTGCTATTATAATCACCTTTGTACAATAGCATGTGATTTGATTTAGGTCTTAGACATTCTTCTCCTCTTCTTCTGACTTCTGCCAGTCCTAATTCATTCTATCAAGTTCTTAATTTAGATCATTTAACATTTCTTAATTTTTCAAAGTCATTGTGTTGTATGTTTTGATGTATAGTTGGCAGCTTGGTCCACTCCAGGCATTCTTAGCCCCCTCTGTTCGGCCGCTGCCTTGGTCAGGGCTAACCGAACTGCTGGAGACTGAGGGCTCTTTAATTTCATACGGCATCACCTTTTTACGACATCTGTTGACTCCAATAATCAAGGAACTTGGGAGTAAATAATTTTATTTCTTATAAATAGCGGGAGAGGAATTTAAGTCAAGGTATAGAAATAACGCGACTTCATAGAGGGATCGAAAGTATTTAAACAAACAAGTAAGTCCAAGAAACGAGGATCTGAAAAGAGGGTTTACCTCAACATAATTAGAAGTTAACATTTTTTTTTTTTTTTTTTTTTACGGATATGCGCACTCGCAAGGAAATGTCCTATCACGCTCGAGAAGCGGCAAGTGCGCGGAAATGTCGGTGTATGTTGGTCTTGAAACGGTTCAGGTTGTAACCTGCAGGGAAAACCGTCGCAGGGAGTTTATTCCACAGCCATGCTGTTCTCCAGAGATATGAATTCTGATATAATGAGGTTCTTGGTACCTGTAGTTTGACAGTAAATTCATGGTTACCGTCTGTTTGACGGGTTCGCCTGGTAGGTGCTACTCTCGGTGGAATCATACGTGCCAACTCTTCAGAGCATTTTCCGTGATAGTACCTGTAGAAGAGAGATAAATCGCCCACAGATCTGCGATGTTCGAGACCATCCAAGTTACGAGTAAGTACGGGGTCATTGATCAGCTTGATAGCTCGTTTTTGCACGGTATTCAAAAGCATTAAGGTATGTTTGGGTGCTGCACTCCATATATGTGAGCAGTACTCCATAGTTGGTCGAATCTGGGCTTTGTAGAGTGTCAGCAATTGGCTTGGTGTGTACAGATGTCTTGTACGAAATAGCACCCCCAGCTTTTGGGAGGCCCTTTTAGCAATATCTGCCACGTGACTGTGCCAAGACATGTTGGCCTCTGCAGTAACCCCCAAGATGTTCAACTGAGTCTGTAATGTGACAGCACTTCCAGATAGCATTTTTTAATATGCTAAATAACATATCAAGTTTGCGACCTTGTACTTCCATAGGGTTTTTAGTTAGGGGTGGTTTTTAGGGGTAATATGTGGTTTATGGAGAACGCTGCTCAAAGGGATGGTCCAATAACAAAAAGTTTCAAATGATTGTTGTAGCTGAAGTCTTTTGCTATATAAAACTCCGCAACAGCACCCCTCTACCTTCTATAGTTTTTTTTCTGCAGCGTCTTGAATAGTACCATGTTTTTGTTCAAGGTCACTGAATCAACGTTTCGCCTGTTTGCGCACATTTGATGCAGCAGCGGCCGAATGCATAATCCGATTTCAATTTTTCAAACACCACATTATTGCTAATAAAATTCACTCTCCAATGCTTTTTTGTTCGAATTTTTTGCTTGAAAATTAGGCGAGCACGGACTTGCCTCATGTGCTAGAAAGTTGTAAATTGCATCGAAAACAATCGGCAGCCCATTTATTCCTCTCATAATGCCCCAGCGGATTTTTTTTTTCCTTAATTGCTCAATGACTTATTGGGCTGGACACGACGCGCGGAATTTTTCAAAAAGTCAAAAAAAAGTAAAATTGACGCACAGCGCTGAAATTTGGTACGACGGCTTTATTTATTGTTCTCATGAGTATACTGCAATTTTAATTGCTTCAAATGAATGCTGCAACAATTAGAATTGCAGTATATTCATGAGAACAATAAATAAGGCCATCGAACCAAATTTCAGCGCTGTGCGGCAATTTTAATTTTTTTTGACTTTTTGAAAAATTCCGCGCGACACAGTCAGCCCAATAATTCATTGGTCACCAAAGAAAACCCGTTACAATATTATTTCTTCAAAATTCATAAATACCCATATCATTTTTATTAAAAATTTTCGCGTAGAATTTAACAAACCATAAACCATTCCACATGTTGCATAAAACAAAAGCAGATTTGATTAATTAAAGGGCACAGAAATGATTAATAACCGTGGACGCACATGCAATTTTCACATAACAGAAATTGGAAATAATTAGTAATAATATGCACGATGGAATCCTGGCGCAATGAGCTAGACGAAAACTCAAACAAAACATTGATAGTTTTCGGCGGATTCAATTATAGGTTTTATAATGGAATATAACCTTCATTTCAGTCGCCGATTCACGAGTGTTATATTATTACTTTATCTACAAGCATTTGGCTATGACGTTTTTAAACTCATTTTTACATAACCATTTTTATAGTATTTGAGTTATGTCATGAGACTCATAATATCGGGTCTTCAAAAAAAAAAAACAATTAAAGATTGCTTTGAATCCGAAGACGTATGTCGCATTATTGTTTCTTTATTGGTCAGGATTTTTGACATGACATTTTGACATTAAAGTTCATTGACAAAATTAGAGAAAAATAGTGCTTAAAACACCATAGTAATCTCTGATTGGTTTTTTTTGAAGACCCGATACAACTAGTGGTGTGATGAATTCATAACATAACCAGTGGTGTTATAAACTAGGTTTTTAATCTATAACACAACTAGTTTTTGTGATTTGACAAATGTCATAGTTAAACCTGTAAATGTAAAATGAAGTTAGACAACTACAAATAAACAAAAATTGAAAAAAATATTTTCTTATTTTTCCCTTTGTACAAAAACGTTATATATCACATGTGCGTTTAAACATGACTACAAAACTCGTGTGATTACAACGACTCGGTCTACGACCTCGTCGTTCTAATCTTTGACACTCGGTATTGTAATCATGTTCATAAATGCACTTATAATGTAAACTGACAACTGACATATAACTATTATCTACAAGTATTTGGTTATGACGTTTCCACATAACAATTTTTCTAGTATTTGAGTTATGTCATGAGACTCATAACACAACTAGTGGTGTTATGGACTAAGTTATGAATTCATAACACAACTAGTAGTGTTATAGACTAGGTTATGAATCTATAACACAATTAGTTTCCTCCGAGGAACTGTGAGACGGTCATTGGTGGAGGGGCCCAGTGACTGACCGTCTATTTGATCCGGTCAGGCGTTGCTAAGGATAGCTCAACAAACCGCAGGGGCTCACATCTAGTGAGTACTGGAGCTGGCATTCCCGAGGCACCCTAGCTGGATACAGACCTTTTTTCAACTTGTCTTGGGTCTGATCTCTTCTTTCTTCTTTCCTCGATCTCTTTTGATCTACTCTTCTTCCTTCAGCTCCCGACGCTATTAGAGCACTCGAGGGCTAGGGGGCTCTTTTTTTTCAGCTATTCCTTCCCTTTCTTCAAAAAAAACAAAAAAACATGAATGATGAGCGATAAAGAGGAGAATGAGAGTACGGAGCAGAGGAGGGACACCTCAGTTCTGGTCAGTGAGGGTGGTGAGCAAGCAGACCCCCCCCACCCCCGACCATCAGCCAGCGACCGCAACGAAAAAACGCATGAGGAGGAATGGGCAGACCCCTTTGTGAGGCGGGAGTCCATAACAAGGTCGCCGCCGGAGAAACAGCCGAAGATGCAGGACAAGGAGGTAAATCCCATTGCCAGAAGGGACACCATTGAAAGGTAGCCAACTAAATGCACCCCAGCGACAAAGGAAAAAAATGGTGGCGTAGTTTTTATGGAGGACCCTAGAAAAATAAATACAACAAAAGTCAGCAGGGAGGTCAAAGAGTCTAGACAGGAATACAAAAAGGAAACGAGTGGGTGAGAACTAGAAAACCACATTGAACAAAATACAAAAAAAAACAACTAAAAGACATAACTATACGTCTAAGAAAACAAGTTAACACAGTGGTCGGGAAAGATGTGAAGAGATGGCTGGAAAAACACAGATATACAACAGCAGTAGAAATAGAGAGTAAGGACTGTGCAATACTAACGATTACAAAACAGACGAAAGAACAGTGAACACAGACTAACGAATAGAGAAAGGAAAATATATCCAGACCCTAGAATGAGGAGTGGCTAGAAGCTGAAGGAATGAAATGGAGAGAAAACCTCTTCGCAAATACGGAACTCACTCAGGACAAAGACATCAACTGTAAAGGTGGTCATGGTTGAGCCAATAGATAGATTTGGACATGGAGAGGAGCATACAGGCCATCTATAAGAACAGGTACCCCGAACTCGGGGATACTGATGACGATTTTGCGGTTCTAGAGCAGAGCTCTAGATGGAAAACCAAAAGTGAGACAGCAGTCCACCAAAAAATAGTGAAAATTGTGCTAGGGAATGCAGCAAAAGACCTGTGG